TCACCTCACTGGGGTCACCTGACCCCACTTGTTTTTCCTGCCTGGTTCAAGGGGCCTGGACCCAATGATCTTGCAAGGTCCCTTCCAGCCCCTTACAATCTATGAATCTATGAAACATCCCTAAATATTATTAAAGCTCTTTGACAATATAATAATAATTACATTATAAATATACTAATTCATCAATGCAATAATGTATCAATTCTTTATTATACACAATACATAATTTATTTTGTGTTATAATATTATGATGGAATTATTATGCTATTATAATATCTTATAATATTGTAATGAAATTGTTATAATGGAGTTAATCTGAAACCCTATTTTAAACAACCAGGTACACTGACCTGAATAAAACAAAACCAGAATCTCTGCAAATCTAAAATGGATGATCATAAACATCAGATATAAACTACCAAGTATAAAGAATCGTTTAAACATAGAGAGGAACAAATATTCGGTCAATGCAACATAGGTAAATCCTTTTAACACCAATGTCCAAATGCAAATCACTGTCAGCGAAAGTAGTTTCCTAAAATTTAACAATAATCATAAGAAAAATTCTCACCAAAAAGTTATAAGGAAAAAACTGCATTATAATGGAAAAAAGGAAAGATAGCAGTATGACATGTACTATATAGTAACTTGCAATCAGATGAAAACTAGACAGCAGTGACAAATAGACCCAGGGGATTAACCCGTAAAACACAGAATATACACAAATCTTAGGTGGTACAAACCCACCTCTGACATTGGCCTCTCAGATATGTCTTTTTCTTATGTTTTGTCAGCAGCTGAATAACTTGTCAGGATAATAAAGACTCACTGAACTGTTAGGAGGCACAGAGGCCAATCCCATGGAAGACATTGGACAGCAACAAGCATAGAAAAAAGGTAAGAGTACAAGAATCCACAGACAAATAGCCTTATTTATTACAAAGTCACTACCTTATCCAGTGTACAAGCAGTGCACTGAATCAGGCAGGGGTTCTGTAAAAAAAAATTAGCATGTGATCATGTACTTAAATATTCCAAAGGGCACAGAATTAAAGCTGCAAACTCTAACTTAAATTTGGCATTTTCTAACTTGTCAGCACTTCATTCTGCATCCTTGATGATGTTCTAAATTAGCTTTTTACATGGACTTTCCAGATTCTTAAAAAAAATAAAAATTAAAAAAAATAATTGAGAACTCAGACTGAGAGCATGTGCACCAATTGATTTGTTAGACCAACTGTTATTTGTCAGTCCCCTGGATTCAGAAAGGACAAGCTAGGAAACATAATGCCAATCCATCCAGCTGTCAGAGGTTTTCTAGTACATACGAGGATTGTGCATATAACTCATTAAGTCAATTTTGCAAAAAAATGATTCAGCCACTTCCCCGCAATGCCACTCATAGTCCTGTGGTACACGTATGGTCTGAGACTTCTCCTACTGTTCCTTAAACCTAGTGTGCTTTCTTGCAAACTGGCAATGTGTCACAGCTTGAAGAGGTCAATACCTCTCATTTCACACAGATACCATCACTACCTGCCCTGAAGCCAAAGATTCCCAATAATCACTTTGTATCTGGCTTCGAACAAAATGGAACTTCAGTAATTGTACAGCACACATTTTTGGATGGCTTTATTTTTGCTGTGCTACAAACAGGAGCTACTTAGACATTTACACACTGGTCATGTAAGCAACATGGCCAACCCAACAAAGCTGTAACAACCAGATCACTGCCGAACCTTTGGATTGGAGACTTAATCCCTGAGCCTTAATCCATCAGTGGTTGTCAAGTTCCCTCTTATCTCCAAAATTCTTGCCTGAACACATAAAAAGCAAAACTGTAACATGTCCTCCAGACCTGCCAATTGCTGTGGTTGATTTCAGTATGTGGGAAAAAAAATCCTAATGTTACCCTACATCCTACCATACATGTCCTTACCAGAGAAAGCAGATGTCAGCTTTCCATATAACTCTGTACAAACCTGTCTGCAATTCAGCAGATCAATATTCATGGCTGTGACGCTGAAATACTTAGGCTAAATTTTCAAAGTTAGCTTTCAATAGGGTGACAATATCATTTTTAAGGAAATCTAAGATACTGCCCCTGCCCCCTGGCTAATCCCTGCCCTGCCCAGCCCAGCCCCCACGTCCAGCTGCTGCTCAGGAGGAGTCAGACCAGGCAGTACAGGCAGAGTGATGCCAATTCAGGACTTTTGTTTCCATTTCCTAGCTTTGAGTGAATTACTCAGTGGCCTGGGCAGCAGTCAGCTTTTTGTATGATATGAATCATGACATTAAAGTCTTTCTGTTAAACAAAGACAAAGTTCATTGATCAGCAACTTTTTGGAGCTGGAACAACCTGGTTTAGGACTAAGGCCAGCTGGTGCTCCTATCTGGCTGCCTCCACTTTCCCTTGCTACCAATTCTCCCTGCTGCACTCCTCCCCCTCTCTGCCCAACTGTGGCATAGGCACAGCTCCTAGGTGCCAGGCCCTGGTGATGCCAAAGTCCCCCACCTCCATGGGCTGGATCCAGTGGCTTGTGATCCCTGATGCAGCCAATCAGGCACTACTGATGGGATGGCAGATGCATTCATGATGCATTCTTCTTACCTGCTTGTCAAAAAACATGCACATGGAATTACCAGCTCATGCCAAGTACACAACTACAGAAACCCATAGCCACTGGCACTGGCCTTTGCAGTGCTGTAATGCCCAATAAATGATACCAGGATGAAAAATCTTTCCTGATATGCACACTGAAGTCTCCCAGGAAAATCATTCTGACTAATTTGGCAGTTGCAGAGGTAATCTTGTCAAAATCCCACAGAACGAATCTACAATAAACAGAATGAATACATATATACTTATCAGTGTAGCATGTCACCCTTAGATCAGAGGGATACATATGCATGGCAGCTATCACTGATGCCTTCTGAAAAGGTCAGACTGAATAGTGAATTTGGCTCTACAAAGGCACAATTCCTCTTCCTCAACTGATTTTGGTTTGCCAGGCGGGTCTCACTCAAAGCAACAATAACATTACAGTGATCTGATTCTTTAGAAACAAGCAACAGTTAGCTTCAGTTCTCTTTAACAATGTGCAGACATTCCAAGAGATTACAAAAAGGCTACACAATTTTTTATGTTTTCAGCTGCAAAAAGGGTGACTCACCAGATGCAGCTATCTGGTCAGCTCTTCTCCAGATCTGACCTGCCTGGAGGGCACTAAAAGGAGATTAAGCTCTCGCCAACATAGTTTCTTGGGTCAATGAGGCATATAAACCCTTCCACCACTGAAAAGATTGATATTCTAAGGTAGGGCTGACCAACTTGGGGGTTGCCCCTGCAGCCACAGACTCCCTGGGACCCAATGTGCTATCCCTAGGGGCAGGGGCAGGAAGCGAAGGTGGGCAGGAGAGCTCAAAGATCCCCAAGAGCTGCTGTGAGAGTGGTAGGAAGAGTGGCAGCCAGGAAGAAGTTTGCAGGCCAGGTGTTAGCCCTTCAGGGGCTGCAAGTCCAATGGCCCTGATTTAAGGGAAGACACAGACATCCACAGAATATTCTAATTAGGATTCCCAAATTCAGTTTTTGGGTTTAAAAGAGATATGTATTAGTGGTTAGAGTAAAAAATCTACAGTAGCACTTTTGTGCACTCTTTCTTTTTTAAACACCGCTCAGTACTGACAACGTGAATATTTACTCACTGTTCTCAGAGGAAGGAAAGACATGCAAAAAAATTATTTTCTATGGTCTTTAATCCTAAAGGGCATAAATCTTCTTCCCTCTTCCTCACCCCCAATGAACTCTACATTTTCCCTTCTTAAGTATCCTTGTTGTATAACCTCTAACTTATAACTATTGTTGTCAATATCTCCCTTTTTCTTCATGTATTAGTATGCTTATTTATTTATTTATTTTACTTATCCTTTAACTCACTTCTTGCTTAAACAGGATGTCTGTTTTAATAAATTCTGTCATGATGTCAGTTATATTTTGGGCCTCTCATGAAAAAGACTTAAAACAACTTCCAGCTATCATTTATATTTAATTTTCCCCCTCACTCAGTTCTACTCACAATTGTTTTAGCTTTGGGAAACTATTGCTCTTAATATACATTATGCACAAAGATAGCAGTCTTGGTCTGACACTTCCCATTATGAGATACTGTTTTCAATTTCTTATAGCTTTGCCAGACTAACAATATAGGCTGGAATTTTCCATTTAGGTGCCTAACTTCAGCCAAAAGGGTTCAACCATTTCTGAGAATTATGCTAGAGAATAATAGGTTTACTCAAAGCTAACAGGCTACTTACCTGCCATCCAGCAACAAAGTAGCGTAATAGTACCTACTGCAGCAACTATGCCAGGAGAACTGGTCCTCTGTCTTTTCCAGATACCAATGTAATTTTCATCAAGTTATATAGTGCCAATATATATATTACCAATGTATATATTACCAATGTAATTTTCATCAAGTTATATAGTGCTAATATGCTTTGTGTCTAGACCTAAGCAACCCTGCCTGGGTACAGGAACAATGAAAAGATAACAATCTTAACAACATCTATGATTGGTGCTGGTAAACATTCTGGAAATGATAAATGTTAAGGTAAACACATTTATACTGGCTGATCTGGGAACATTAAAATACTTGAATCATTAAAAAAACAGATTATCATATCATCAAATGAAGGTTCATACAAACAATATAATTCACAATTCTATAGACAATAGTAACTATGAAAGGATTGTGTGTCAGGATTGATGAACAATGTTGCCAGGACTATGTTGTGGTTAAGAGGGCCAACAAGATCCTTGGATGTACAGAGAGGACTACTGAGTAGGGGCAAGGAGATGGTATTACTTCTGTCTACCATGTTGGTGAGACCTTTCCTGAAATAAGAGTACCTTGTTTTGGAGCAGCCATTTCTATTATTCCCCATCTCTCTGAAAAGAAAAGGTTAAAAAGAATATTGTTATTCATCTTGCAATGCTTTACCTGAGTTGCAGCAACAACAGTAGTTACAGAAGGTGTGGCTGAAGGCGACAAAGCTCCCACTTGCTGCAAGTGACTGGAAGCCTGCTGAGGTAAATGAGAACTGGAAACTGGAGTGCTAGATCCTGAACCAGATACTGCATTTGGAAATGATACTGCTACATCATTGCTGCTATAAATACCTGAAAAAATACAATAACATTTATATGAATTAACTTCTGTTCATGACCAACAATATAAATTTGCTATAGAAAATGAAAGTGGAAGTTAATAAAAGGCTCAAGTCAAGATTATTTAAATCAGACTACAGTGGCTGTCAAATTTTTAGACTCAAGGCACCCCTCAAAAAATACCAAGTGTTAGCTTCTACTCACTCTTTGCCCACAGAAAACTTATAAATTCTTCTGTCGCAAATAACTCAGAAAGAGAACAACAGACCCAAAGTTTTTGATACTAAAGATTCCTATTTAAAATCTTTGGGTTTATTTTGTGAATCATGCACAGGTGTTTGCACACATAATGGTGCTAATATTGTACAGTACTCTGCAGTAACCTTACAAGGATCTCATAGAACAGCAGGCTGTGGTGGCACCCCGGATGAGAATCACTGCTCTAAATTCTAGATGATTTCACTGATTCAGTTATAAATATTACTAAAATGTACATGATAAATCAAACTATATTTGTGCACAGTACAGAATGGTATATGTATAACAGTACAATTTACTGCTAAAATGTTTGCCTTCTACTGAATCTGCAATCTGTCTAATACTTCAGTAAGCTACAGTAAAAGGATAAATGTTTCAAAAGAGTGCAACAAACTGAACGAATTAAAAATAATTTTCTGAAATTAAAACAACCATCCTTGTACTATAATTTTTTTTTTTAAATGGTAAGTGAATTCTTGAAGTTAAAAGGAATTTCCTATGCATTTTTTTAATAGAATTAACAGCAATTCTGAGAACAAAGTGGTCAGATTTGCTAAGAGAAGTAAATGGTTGACAGAATGGTAAATGGTTGATAGAACTGATAAAATGAATAAAGAAAGAATAAAAAATGAATAAAGAAAGAATCAAGGGGAGAATATTTAACTTCTGGGATTTTTAAATATGGTACAATATATCATATACTGTCAAGGCCTGAAGCTGTGGAGAACCCAAAGGTTGTGCAAGAGACTGGCAAAAGTGAAAAATAGACTGGGATTTGAAAAAGCAGAAAAACCTGACATTCTCTTTCAGTCTACGAATGAAAATGAAGAGGGAGAGGACAAGATCTATTACTTCAGTCTGAAGGACACCCTAAGTAACACAGGAGACTGTCACTGTCAAGAGATTTAGGTGAAAAGGAACTTATCTTTCCATTACTTTGACTTAAACATATCTGAAAATTTTCCAAGGCTATCCTGAAATAGCCAATTTAATTTAATGATTCCTCATAATCCACTCTTCCATAAATCATTTGGTTGTAAAAGTGATATATTTTTTATAAAAGTTTACATATCCAGACAAAACATAGTCTCTTATTTTTGTTTGATAAATTATGCTGTTTTGCATGTTTAATTAAATTCCAGTTCCCATCCTTAAACAGCTGCTTGTTATAAAAATCATGAGCAAGGGCTAATTATCTAGTAAACAGATCAAGCAAATAAATTCACAACTTTGTAATATATTAAAGTAGTTAAGAATCTAAAATTAAGATATATAATTGCTTAAATAAATGTATACAGGTACAGTGTACCCACAGAATAAAAAGGTATCAAATCTAGCAAGAAGGCTCTATTTGGTTGTAAATCAATGTTTTAATGTTAATAAAACAAATAAGAATGCAGATCTTTAGAAAATAACTTAAATACAATTAGAAAAGTTGATTAAAATCAACAATTAAAAACCAATGCTTTCCTCTTAATGATTCAAATCACGATTTAAATAGCTGATTTAAATCAATCTACTCTGACAGTTGATTATGTTAATGTTTTACCCAGGCTCAAGCTTTAATAGTTTGAATAGGAAGAGTCCACACACTGATGATAAACTACTGTTTCTGTCTATCTACACATGAATTATAAGTCCTAGAAATCATGTGGACCCAGGACTGTGCAGAGGACACCCCTCAAGCATACAAAAAGTGGGCACTAAGATACAAGCAGTGGTGTGCGTTTCTTTTTTCCTGGTCACTCCATGTGGCCTTGAAGAAGAACTGCAGCATACCGTCTCTCCTTTTTTTTTTTTAAGCAAAGACCTTCAGACATTCAGGGAAATTTTTACAGTTTTGACTTGACTTTCTCTGCCCTAGGCTGATTGGCTGTTTGCTCCAGCCCTCCCACCCCTGTGTAATTAGTTCATTACAAAGCAAAACCAAAGGAGGAGTTGGTACTGTGGCAGTTCCCACCCAAGAGTTTACTGCTTAGAACACTAGCCCAGGAAAGATTCCTGAGCTATATGACCTCCTCACCCTGCAAGGACTAAAATTCACAGCTCTCACTTCCTAGAACCATGCCCTAACCACCAGGTTGTGGGCTAGCTGTATGGGAACCCCTTCTACACCTCCAGTTGAAGCTGACCTGGTAGTCAACCATGAAGCAAGATTCATGGAGCCGAAAAGAGGGATGAGGGAGCCTGACTCTATACAGCCCAGTGAAGTGGTATGAGAGACCTAACTTCAGGTCCCTACTACCAGGATTCTTTCTGCTTTTTAACCAATGATAGTTTATTTAACGTGGAGTGCATAAACAGGCCTGGCAGCAGAGAATAAAACTGAAAGCAGACTGTTAATGCAAGCAAACTGTTAATGCATATGGAGTGACAAACTTTAATTTTATTAAAACACCAGTAATAGTTTAATTTGCCAAAGAAGCAAGAGTAGGCTTTATAACAAAGTAAAGCTTCCCTACTTGTTGATGCTGCAAAATATGAAAGGGAGATGGCCTCTCTCCCAGTATATTGTTAAAGCCTTAAAAGAGCCTGAGCGTGATATCTTTACATTTACTACTGCCTTACTCCCTGAGAAGTCCCACTGACTCCACTGCGACTAGCTGTACAGTAAGTTACTTTTTCATGAGAGTGAGGGAAGGAAATTTGGCTCCTAATTTGCAGATCAACCCTTGAGTTACACAGCATTTCAAACACAACTGTATGAAACCCATATGAAAATAGTCTTTGTTAATTAAAAAAAACCCCTAAAAACATCTGGAACACATTAAACCACCATGCTGTTTTTTGGGGGGCAGATAAATATATCAATGCCTAAATCAGCAGATGGTAATAATGAAGGACCTGGAAAAAAATAAGCATAAAAACCATGGGGCTTGGAGGAGAATGCTAAAATAGGTGAAAAAGCAGACATAACACATACAAGCCAAAATTTATGGAAAGCTAAATATCACTGGGTTTTGTGACAAAGATTAAATTTCAGCAAAATATATGTAAGTTTCTAATACAGGGAGTCATCTTGGGAGAAGGTGTAGAAGCTTATAAATTGACTTCCTGCACATGTGTAACTGTTCAACTACTGAGGTCCACTGCATGGAAGCACAAAATGCAAAACTTTGTCCAAAAAGTTATTATTAGTAGTTATTCATCAAAATAACACAACACAAAAGTTTGATTGCTTCCACAGTTGCTAAACATGGCTTCATGTTACAGTTAGACCAAAAAGACCTCTGAGGAAGGCTAGAAGTGGCCTTATTTTTGCATCAGCTATGCTATTGGAGCAAAATTTTATAGAAGCAATGGCAAGAATGTGCCTCAGAAGTGCCTACATAAAGCAAGGTCTTTTGGGGTTTTTTTTACCACATGTGTTACATGGGTCAACTGGCAAGTCTGTAACAGTGTGAAAGTAACAAAAACTAGCTATGCCAGATGTTAAACCTCTACTCTCTTTCCTAACTATCAGTAGTGCATTTGGAATCATGATTAGCTAACTACAGCCCACAATAAGTTTAACAATTACGTTGATCAAAACAATCATATTCAAATAAGAAGTTGATGCAATCTGATCATGCAACAATCTGAAACTGCTGTATAATGCAACAATTAATGTGAACCATTAAAATGGTAGGCAGGTCAAGTTGAGGCTCATGCTGTTCATAGACTCATAGAAAATTAGGATTGGAAGGGACCTCAGAAGGTCATCTAGTTCAACCCTCAAAGCAGGAACATCCCCAATCATATCATCACATCCAATGCTCTGTCTAGCTAGGACTTAAAAACATCCAAGAATGGAGAGATTCCACAACCTCTCTGGGTAACCTGTTCCAATGCTTTACTACCCTCCTACTAAGAAAGTTTTTCCTAATATCTAAGCTAAACTTCTTTTGCTATAACAAGACCATTGCTCCTTGTACCATCGTCTGCCACCACTGAGAACAGTCTAGCTCAGGGGTGGGCAAAATGCGGCCCGGGGGCCGGATGTGGCCCACCAGGCCATTCTATATGGCCCGCGGGGCCCCTAAAAAATTTAGAAAATTAATATTTATCTGCCCTGAGCTGCCTGTCATGCGGCCCTCGATGGCTTGCCAAAACTCAGTAAGCAGCCCTTTGCCCAAAATAATTGCCTGCCCCTGGTCTAGCTCTATCCTTTTTGCAACCATCCTTCAGGTAGCTGACGGCTGCTATCACAAGTCCCCACTCAGTCTTCTCTTTTCCAGTTCCCTCAGCCTCTCCTCAAATGTCATTGAGCCAGTTTTCTATCCACCTTAAAATCCATTCATCCAACCCATACTTCCTTAGTTTGTTTGGGAGAATGCAATGGGAAACCATATAAAAGTCTTGCTACAGTCAAGATATATCACATCCACTGCTCCCTCCACATCCATAGAAGGCTGGTCAGGCATGACTTGCCCTTGGTGCATTCATGCTGACTGTTCCTAATCACCTTTTCCTCCAAGTGCTTAGAAATGGATTCCTTGAAGACTCCATGATCTTCCCAGGGACTGAGGTGAGGCTGACCAGCCTGTAGTTCCCCAGATCCTCCTCCTTCCCTTTCTTAAAGATGTGCCCTTTTCCAATAATCTGGAACCTCTCCCAATCACCATGAGTTTTCAAAGATAATGGCCAATGGCTCTGAAATCACATTGGCCAATTCCCTCAGTACCACTGGGTGCATCGCATCTGATCCCATGGACATGTACACATCCAACTTTTCTACATAGTCCCTCACATGTTTTTTTCCCAATGTTGGCTGG